ACTCGGGGTGTCCCAGACCCCCGCTCCTCCCAGCAGGGTCCTCACATCTCTAGTGGGGTCTGCAGGTAATGCCCCGCCAAGGGAGTTGCTTGGGGTCAGCTGGGTAGGATTTCCAGGGGCTCAGGACTAATAAAGGGAGTTTTTTTTAACACATTTTCCCCCACAAACTCCATTCACTGTTTCAAAGACATCTTCATATCCTGCCCCCAGCTTTTGCTGCAGGGAGGATGCTCCAACCCCTGATTTCTGCCCTGGCTGCTGCTCCTCCCCATCACGCCATTGCATTTGGGGTCACCCCTCCCAGCCCCTTCCAGCCTCACAGGAGCAGCAGAAGGTGACAGCCAGGGTGGGTCTGTGCTCCCACAAACTCCATTCACTGTTTCAAAGACATCTTCATATCCTGCCCCCAGCTTTTGCTGCAGGGAGGATGCTCCAACCCCTGATTTCTGCCCTGGCTGCTGCTCCTCCCCATCACGCCATTGCATTTGGGGTCACCCCTCCCAGCCCCTTCCAGCCTCACAGGAGCAGCAGAAGGTGACAGCCAGGGTGGGTCTGTGCTGCAAAGGAAAACCCCTTCCCACCACGCCAGGGTCACGCAACAGCCTTGCTCGGATGGTGGGTTTAAATCCCAGACATGCCTGAGCCCCAGTCCCCTGTTCCCAGGCAGTGACAGCCCCACGGGGCTCCCTGTCCCCCCATCTCCCTTCTCCCCTGCCACCCAGGTCCTGCAGACAGGGAACACACCATCGTGGAGGGCTGGGAGCCAAAGCAGCTGGAAATGCAGCTGCATTCTGCAGCCTTCAGCACTTTCCCCTGCCAGGAGGGAGCCTGGCCCTGCCCCAGCTCTGCTGCTCAGGCGGGAGGCACCCCGTTATTTCCACCTTGGCCTTTCCCTGGAACTCACCCTGGCCCTATATCAGGAGCGGGAGGGATGCCCAAGGGCTGGCACAGTCCCCATGGGATCCGGGTGCCCCAGCCTCCCCCCGCACCAAGGCAAGTCCCTGGTTCAGATCAGCGATGGAGGCGACAGGGGAAACTGAGGCAGGGGACGCAGCTGTCCCTTGCCTGCACATCCACTGCACATCCCTCCACCGTGGCTATGGCACTGCTGCCCTGCTGCCACCCTGGTGGCGTGGGACGAAACGCGAACAGAGACGCAGAGAGGGACATTCGGTGTCCCTGCAAACCCCCAGCTCAGAAACCAGCCCCCAGGCCTGGGGGTCCCACAGCCCACCTCCCATCCCACCACCCTGCTGCTGACCCCGGCGCCCAGTTTGCAAACTGCTGGTGCCCTCTAAAGGGAGAAGGGAAGGGAAAAGCCCCAGCAGGTTTGTCCCCAGCCCCAGCAGGCTTGTCCCCAGTCCCAGCAGGACAGGCACCCTGCTGCAGGACAGATGTCTTCTGCTTGGGAAACACAGCATGGGGTTTTTTGGTGTTTTATCTTCCAGCCCAGCAGCCCGGTCTTGCCCCGGCTCCAACCCTGCCTGCGAGATGCCAGGGCTGCAGAAAGCTGCAGAAACCTTGGGAGAGGCTTTAAGGGTATAAACTTGAGGTGGTTTTGATTTCTAGGGAGAGTTGTACAGCTCCAAACAGCCAAAACAAAAAAAGAAATGCGCTTCATCAGGATGGTGTTATTCCTCAGCCCCTGCGATTGCCACCCTGGCACATCCCCTGGCTGGGGCCAGCGCATAGGATCACAGAAGGTTTCTGGGGACACCAGAACTTGCTGTCCATAATATCTCCTGGGAAGGTGAAGGTGTTCTCGGTGCTGGGGAGGTGGAGGAGAAGGAGCCAGGAAAGCCACTGAGGCTGCTCCTGCCCCCATTGCACCAGACACGAAAGCCTGGGAAACCCACCCTGACGTTCTCAGGACGGTTTCTGCCCCATGGGAATCTTTTGCATCTGTTTCCATTTGCTTTCCTGTACTTAAACCCCGCGGGGTGCATTCAGGCACCTGCCTGCGGGTCTGTCCTGCCCCTGCCCTCCCCACCCCACGGCTCTGTGCTCGGGGACGTGCATGTGACAATGCATGTCCCTGGCTAAAAATAGACCCCACGTTGGGATTTGCGGTAAGATCACCACCCCTGCCAGCTCCCTGCCAGGCAGCCCTTCCCAGGGACAAGGTCACAGACGAGTCATCTTCTGGGGCACAGCCACCTTGTGTCCCCATCCCGGGGTCCCATCCCCATTCTGTGTCCCCATCTCAGGGTCCTGTCCCCATCTCAGGGCCCTGTTCCCACTCCATGTCCCCATCCTTCACATCCTTGTCCCCATCTCAGGTGGACTGTCACCATCCCATGGGCCACCCCCCAACCCCTGTCCCACTCCATGTCCCCATCCCAGGGTCCTGTCCCCATCCCAGGGTCCTGTCCCCACTCCATGTCCCCATCCCAGGTGGACTGTCCCTATCCCATGGGCCACACCCCAACCCCTTGGGTCCTGTCCCTGCTCTGTGTCCCCATCCCAGGTGGGTTGTCCCCATCCCAGAGTCCTGTCTCCTGCCCGCCAGTGACCCTGCCAAATCAAGCTAATCCCCCAGCCACCCTCCATCTCTCCCCAGCCCGTTGATCACCCCGAATGGCAGGAGAAGCCGCATGGTGGGCAGCTGTCCCCCTCCCTGGAGAGCAGGGACAAAAGCATCCCTGCCCCAGGCAGCACACACAGCCCCAGGCAGCCAGCAGCTCCCCATCCTTTATTTTCCTGTTGCTCCTCTCCTGGCTGGCATCCACGAAGGTCAGGATGGATGCCGTGGCTCAGGCTCGGTACTCGAAGAAGCTGTCTCGCACGGCCCTCTCGCGGGCGGTGACCCTCTTCCCCGAGGGGAAGGTCTGGTAGGTCCGCAGGTTGGCCGGTGACACTCGCAGCAGATGCCAGCGGGTCTTGGCGCTGAGCGGCGGGCTGGGGGGGCACAGCACCAGGGTGGTCACAGAGGGGCAGGCAGGGGTTCAGGCAGGGGTTGCAGGGTGCAGGCAGCAGGTACAGGGGTGCAGGCAGGGGGCACCCCCAGGGCTGTGCTCCCAGAGCACTGGAGCACCCACTGCTCACCCCGGCAGAGCTGCAGAAGCAGGCGAGGCTGCAGCATTGTCCCCCCAAGAGAATCTGTTCAATCCAAGCTTGCACTGGGCTGGTGCAACCCTGGGGGTCCCAACTCCCCGCTGGCTCTGCCCACGCCTGCACCCCAGGTCAGGGGTTGCACAGGCACAAGGTATCGCTCGGTGCCACGTGCAAGGGAAGCACAGCTGGAGCTGGGAGATTTCCTCCGTGCTCCAACCCTCCAGGACACAAATATTGCTGCAGAAGCAGCTCTGCAAATTGGGGTGACCTGGGTGGGCTCACTCCCATCTGTGTAAGGAAGGAGCCTGGGGATGGGGAAGCGTTTGAAGGGCTCCAGGGGACAATACAGATTCCTTTCAAGGCCACCACTGCTTGTGCCTCTTTGGGGACATGTTGTTGGTCCCTCCAGGAGCTGGTCAAAGTCAAATTGTTGCTGCAGGGATGGGTCGGGGAGCAGCGAGGACCTCGGGAACAAGGAGCAGGGATGGGCAGCAGCAGGTCAGGGTCCGGATGGGGTCGGAGGTGGTGGTGGGGGTCACACACAGCCCAGGATGCCCCCCAGCAGCAAGGCAGGTCTGAGACCAAGCCTGGATGGGGTCGGAGGTGGTGGTGGGGGTCACACACAGCCCAGGACGCCCCCCAGCAGCGAGGCAG